CTCAAAACCCAGCTAGTGATGGCAGCCCAAGCAATGAGTAGGATAATTGATAGTTTACTATCTGGCTGCGCCCCTTGCTTGCTACGCTCATCGAACACCCTCTCTCTGGCCACTTTTACTTGCATGGTAGAGAGGGCGATGGCATCATTCTGTTGCCCTGCAGGAAAGTCTTTTTTTAGAGAAAGAGAGAGACAGAAAATTGATCATTATAAACTATGAAACCAGGGCTGTGCCACATTCCCACAACACTGCACTGTGGGATACATACCCCTGTGTATTGCTCACATTATAATGGTGCCCACCAAGGTGCACATGACCTGTTAACAGAGGGAGCAAATGTGAGCACCTTCTTGTGAGTTTTGTTGTGTTAGCATTTGGGTATCAACATAAGTTTTGATGACACAACTTGGTAGTGCAAGCAAGTGTGGTGTAGTGTAGTATAGACATAGCCACAAAGCCAGTGTAGTGTAGACATAGCCTCAAAATCATGGACTTAACAGAGACATTGGATTTATGGTTTATTGCAACAATCAGTAAGCACTAAACCCTCCTTTTTGTCCTATTACTATAGAGGTATTCACGGGTCACTATCAGGAATGATCCCTTATATGTGCTAATAACTTATGCTAAACAATATGTTCCATCTTGCATTTAGCTGTGAGTACCTTCCCCAGCTCAAGAGCAGCTCTGAACAGCTCACAAACTTATCTCTATCACTAACTGAAGTTGGTTGCATGCAAGACATTATCTTACCCAGCTTGTCTCTCTTGAAAAATAAGGCTATTAATCTGTAAGGGGCAAAGCTGTTAATATAATTACAAGATGAAAATAATTTAAAATCCCAGTATGGCATCTTGTGTGCTTTCCTCTAGCCATGAACACATAATATGTGTACTGGTAAATAAAGATAACATTCAGAGGCTAATGTACTTCAGCCAGATGTAACACTTTCGTCATTTCCCATAATTTCTATGTGCTATTTGGAAAGGAAATCTGGAATTAATTCATTTGATCACTAAAGTATCAGTTTAACCTCCTTTTAAAATTATAATGTATGGATTATGATGTCTTTTGGTGAGCTACTTAGTTTTGATAGGGATTTTTTTTTAAAAGGATCAATCTTACAAACTTTAGACAAGCAGATTATATACTGATTCTGAATTAAATATTGATGCAGTATATTTTTACTAACTACTGTTTAAATATATATAAAAATAATTTGCACAAAGGAAAAATGCCCTGTGCCAAAAAATCAGCCTTAAAAGAGAGCATCATGTGTATTCACAATAAAAATGCTTACAGAATTACAGATGTAGAAAAGCATCCTTCAAAGGAAAGATTAATTATGCACAATTGTTTTAGTTATTGTGGCTTCTCTGGAATTTTCTAGCCAGATATCCCAGAGCTATTTTTAAATATGAACCAAATAATACTGGTGCTCCCCAGTTAAAATATTAGATTCTTATGGGGTTTTTTTCTTTTTAAATAGAATAATTATGGAAAGTGGGGTTAATAGGTAAGAAACCTGTCATTCTGTTCCTTTCCACAATATAAAACTGGAGATCATATCTTATTTCAGGCCAGATCAGTGGCAGGGGAATTCCGTAAATCTGAATTGAGTCCAGCTGCAAGGAGTGCTCAGTCAGCTCTCAATAGGTGCCACTGAAGAGTTCCTCTTCCCCTTTTTGAATCAGCTGAATTCCTCTTCATTCTGGCAGTGGGTCTAGCACAGCTGCCTCATACTCAGTGACATCCTGACCCCGAACTCCCATCCAAACATTGTGAAGTAGAGTCACAGGTTCCAAGGGCAGAAGGAATCATTATGATCATTTGATCTGATCTCCTGTCCATTGTGTTCCAAAACAATCCTAAAGCATATCTTTTACATGAAAGGAGGAGCAGTAATATAAATATATTTGTTCTTCACACAATGTTTCATTCACTGCTGGGAATGAATGCATATGGAGATATAATGCACCTTCATATTCCCATAAGGATCATGTCACTGTTTAGATTGACTGTGTCGAACACTTGACAAAGTGGGTGACACTCTGGTTTTGATTTAAAGGGCCTGGTTCCAACCACTGGCGCAGTAGCAGTGGTGGCAACAAGGAGCCCGGGGCCCCTCTAAATCACTGGACCTCAGGGCAACTGCCTCTTCCCCCACTTCCCGATTCCCATAAGTGAGCCTGCATACAATTTAGCATTAACAATTATAATGGTAACACTAAATTTCCTTTTAACAAAACAATCATGTTAGCAATAAAAGAGTGATCAGAGAAGGTGTGGGACCCTTGTTGGGTGAGGGAGGTAACCTAGTGACAGATGATGTAGGAAAAGCTGAAATACTCATTGCTTTTTTTGCCTCTGTTGCCACAGACAAGTTCAGCTCCCCAACTACTGCACTTGGCAACACAGTATGGGAAGGAGGTGGGCAGCCCTTGGTGGAGAAGGAACAGGTTAAGAACTATTTAGAAAAGTTGGGCATACACAAATCCATGGGGCCAGATTTACTGCAGCAGAGGATGCTGAGAGAGTTGATAGATATAATTGCAGACCCATTAGCCATTATCTTTGAAAACTCATGAAGGTGGGGGGAGGTCCCGGACAATTTGAAACAGGCAAATGTAGTGCCCATATTTTTAAAAAGGAAAGGACAATCCAGGGAACTATAGACTAACCAGCCTCACCTCATTCCCTGGAAAAGGGGATCTTCAAGGAATCCATTTTGAAGCACTTAGAAGAGAGGAAGGTGATCATGAATTCATCAGGGGCAGGTCATGCCTGACCAACCTGATTGCCTTCTATGATGAAGTAACTGGCTCTGTGGACATGGAGAAGTCAGTGACTTTAGCAAAGCTTTTGATACGATTTCCCGCAGTATTGTTGCCAGCAAGTGAAGGATTGTTGGGTGAATGCTTTACATTCTTGAATGCTTTATATTCTATAGTTTTAGCTTTTGACTGTGATACTTAAGCCATATTTTGAGACAACTGTTTTGATCCAAATGTACCATAACTTAATTTACTTACATGTAATGAGCAATATGACCTAACTACAGTGCATAATATCAATAAAATGAAATTTTGATATGAATTTATACTTGTGGTTTGTATTTTCAAATGATGGGTTAAGGAGAGACGTAAGGAGGGGGGACAACGCTTCTCAATGCATGAGCTATACTGTCTCAATAGTACTTATTTATTCACTTAAAGAGAACCAAAGTAAGATTAAAACTGGTGAAACATTCACAAAGATTCTTATGTAAGTCAGTAGAAAATCACATTATATTTAACTGCTGAACTGCTCAAGAGGAATAAATATGAAACTTAGAACAGATAAATACAGAACAATGCATTTCACTGGAACTATTCTATGAAAGTTAGAAAAGGAAAATAAACTATTTTAGAGAATACACAAATGTGCAAAAGGATACCATATGCAGTAAAGCAATCTCTATAAACGAAATTCTCTTCATCTGCCTTATATTCTTAATACAGAATAAATGCGAATTTGCTTCATTGTCAAAGTTGAGAATATTAAAATCAAGGAACTTCTGATTTGATTTTAAATTCAATGGACCCCAAAGCTACAGAGTTTGCAATGTAATTAACTTCGGTTTGAAAAAATGTAACCTCTAAGGGTATGTCTACATTGCCACCTTAGTTCGAACTAAGGTGGCAATGTAGACATACCCTTAGAGGTTACATTTTTTCAAACCGAAGTTAATTACATTGCAAACTCTGTAGCTTTGGGGTCCATTGAATTTAAAATCAAATCAGAAGTTCCTTGATTTTAATATTCTCAACTTTGACAATGAAGCAAATTCGCATTTATTCTGTATTAAGAATATAAGGCAGATGAAGAGAATTTCGTTTATAGAGATTGCTTTACTGCATATGGTATCCTTTTGCACATTTGTGTATTCTCTAAAATAGTTTATTTTCCTTTTCTAACTTTCATAGAATAGTTCCAGTGAAATGCATTGTTCTGTATTTATCTGTTCTAAGTTTCATATTTATTCCTCTTGAGCAGTTCAGCAGTTAAATATAATGTGATTTTCTACTGACTTACATAAGAATCTTTGTGAATGTTTCACCAGTTTTAATCTTACTTTGGTTCTCTTTAAGTGAATAAATAAGTACTATTGAGACAGTATAGCTCATGCATTGAGAAGCGTTGTCCCCCCTCCTTACGTCTCTCCTTAACCCCAATATGCTTTTTCCCACTAGTTTTCAAAACCCTCAATTAAGAACTCAGGAAATAAAGTAGATACAAACGTCATTAAGTATCTGTTTTCCTCTTTCTCTTTGATAATTTAAGTCCTTCTCATCTCTTTTATTTCTATACTTGCAGTGATGTATTGTGTGTGTTTGGCAACATGCCAGCATAATCCAAATTCTGTTCTGCTTTGCCCACTGTGCAACGCTTAGTAGATATGATATGTACGGAGTAGCAGAATTGGGGCTAATGATAAAGCAAAAATTGACATTTTGCCACAACTGAATATAGAATAAATTACTTATAATATATAGTTCTGAAAAACAGTAATGTTGAGCGCTTTAGCAATTCACAGATAAATATATAGTATCTCAGTTGGTAATGAAATATAAAAAGATACTTAAGTTAGCAGGGAGCTGACAATCATTCCTGCCAATAAGGAGAATTTATGTTCAAAAGGAATAAAATGTAAGCTTTCAAATAACATTTCATACCATGAATCAGTAAATTTGTGTTGTATAATGCTAATCTAGCTTCTCTATTCCAAGTGAATACATTATTTTGCAAGTAATTACAGCAAGCAATTTGATTTGCTTGCGGTGTATAAATACTTTGTATGTGCTTCTATTTTCCCATTAGTGGAAAGGGTTAATTCTTTATATGGTTCATAATAGTACTGAGTTTTTCTTGAAAAGGTGTTCATTCAAATCTTTTTTAAGTATGGTATTGACCATACTGTAGCTCTAAGTGAACTAATATGTTTCCTTTGCCCATTTTAGGTGCAAAGGTCCAGAAACAAGCAGTTACGTGAACTGTTTCCAGATGCTGAGGCAAAACAGAAGTTTGGTTGAAAACTTGTTTTCTCATGGACATATCAAAGTCCTGGTTTGTACAGCCACATTAGCCTGGGGTGTCAATCTCCCTGCTCATGCTGTAATTATTAAGGTAAGAGTTTATCTTGATCTTCAAGTGAATGCATCTTAAAACAAATCTTCAAGTGAATGTATCTTAAAACAATCTCTAAAAATGTATGTATATCAAGATGTTTGCTGTGGTTGGGGAGGAGGGCTTATTGACTTGAAATGTTGTTAAACTGATTCTCTCCAGTCAGAATTTAGTTTGTATAGTAAATATTTAAATATATTATAGATTATGAAAGGATTAGTTAAGGTACACTTTTGAGATCATGTTATATTTGCCTAATTTCGGTATTCAGCTCATCAGGATTATATTCATGTGTATTTATGTTAATTTTTATTATCTTTTCCTCAATCAGGGAACACAAATATATGCTGCAAAAAGAGGCTCCTTTGTTGACCTTGGAATTTTAGATGTCATGCAGATATTTGGTCGAGCTGGACGGCCTCAGTTTGACAAATTTGGAGAAGGCATCATTATTACAACTCATGATAAACTCAGCCATTACCTGACTCTCCTTACTCAGCAGAACCCAATTGAGAGTCAGTTTCTTGAAAGCCTTGCTGACCACTTAAATGCAGAGGTAACATTTGATAAGTTATTAAGAGAAAAAAAGGTTAAGATGACCAGTTTTAGTCACAAAAATGTAATATTCATATATTCAACATGTCTATTAATTCATAGAAACTCCACCTAATAACAGGAATATATTAGTGTATATTTTTATTTAAGAGAAATGAACAATAAGTAATACTTTGCACAGGTAAGTTTCACAAGGAACTACAAGCACAGTTGAAAGTAATTTTAAATTTTACAAATCATTATATGGAAAGCCAACATAGCAGATATAAGAAAAAACCTAAAATATTTTATATTTTTATGCACAATTATTTTAGGGGCTTTAATTGGCTTAACTGGATTGATCCATTGTTCTATAAAAATATATTAATTATGGAAAACATTTAAAGTTAAAATGTGTATATGCATTTTCTAAAAAGTCGCATTTTCTAAAAGTTATCCGTTATTTTTAAAAGCTTGAATATTTAATTGATTGAACTGGAGCTAGAAAATGTAACGTATTCTGGTTTGACCTGTTCTTTCTCTTTGATCTTAGATTTAGAGTGGTACTTGAAACAGATATTATAAATAGCAAGTCACCGGTTTTCTTAAATTAAAATCTCAAATGAAAATATATTTTCTTAGGAAATGTCATATTTGTATAATTAAAGCAAAGTGCAGTCTGCATACAAAAATATAAATTTTCAAAGGCTGATCATTTTAGTAACCAATTTAAAAATATTTTTTCTAGGACATTCAAGAAATTTTAGGATGTATTCTAAATCAAGTAGGGTAAAGAAAGTTAAAGCAATCCTACCAATTAGCTACCTTACCTGATAAGAAATGCCAATAAAAAGTTCAATTTAATAGGTATAAATAATCCTGTAATTGAAAAACTAGGATTTTAGCTGAGATAACTGTTAAATATTTATTAAGTGTTTAACTAGAAAATGTATTTTAATCATTAATTTGGCTACAACAAAACAAAAATTATATATGATTGAGAGATTGGAAAGAGAACTTGGACAAATTTCTGACACAACCTCTTGGCCAAGAGTATTCTGAACAGGGAGATTCTTAATAACTTTTTATTTCTAGTAGAGTGATGGTTCTTCCTAAGTGTTCTGTTTTCTGTTTTAACCCAACACTGGGGCATAATGGTTATTGTGAAAAAGACATTATTCCTATTCAGAAACATGCCACAAGAGATTGCCAAAGCAATATCAAGTTTTGTTTTGTAGGTTATAGTGATAGGTTTCTACTTTTGTGATTTTTAGACATACAATTGTATTTTTTAAAAAGATTTTCTATTGTGAACTTAACATTCATAAAAGTATAGCTGGCTGTACATCCGTCTTTGTAAAATCTGACCTTTTAATGTACAGGGAGCTATAGTAATTAATTTCTCCCAGCTTGAAGTTTTATGCAGAAACTTTATTAATGAAGCTTTTCCAGTTTTCCACAACCATTGGCCTAGTGAACAGAAAGGCAGATGAGACAATGGATATTAGAGATATCAGTGTGTAGACAACTACATGATGAACTGATAGGCCTAGTTTTATCGGTTAATCCTTTGCACTACACACAACCTCCCCCCCCCCTTGCAGTCTCTGTATTAGAAGCAGTGAGGTTGGGGGGAGGGAGAGTGGGAGCCAGTACCCATAAGGAGCTGGCTTATACACTGGCTCCCCACGAGCACTGGATCTACTTCCCACCTCCACCCTCCCGCATTGCTGCCTGTGACAGAGAGGCAGCAGTGCAGAGCATGAGGGGGCAGGGGGGAGCTGATATGCATGCAGAGCTGGCTTTTAAGAAGGCTTCCCATATGTGCCAAATCCACAGACCCACCTGCCCCCCACTTGCTGCATCCTAAGAGGCAATTGGGGATGGGCAGGCAGGAATCAGTGCTGGGAGAAGCCAGCTTAAAAGCTGGCTGCTCCCAGCACCAGCTCTGCAGTGCTGCCAAGTCCCCCCCTCCCACACTGCTGCCTCTGATAGATCCAGGGCTTGCTGTGGACACAGGCTGCTCTATGGCAGCAGCCCCAATCTGGAGGGTTGGGATAAGCTCCCCACAGACAAGGCCTGTATCAGAGGCAGCAGCACAGGGCGGCAGAGGGGAGCCAGTCTTCATGGGAAGCTCCCCTCATGGACCAGTTCCGACCTCCCACCCCATGCTGCTGCCTCTGATTGAGAGACAGCAGCACGGAATGGCAGGGCTCCCCGTGAGTGGGGCTGGGAGTGCACTGGCTGCCGACCCCATCTCTGGGGATTATCAAATAGTTGAATAACCACTAAAATGTCATGCAGTTACATAATTATTCAATTACACAACTGTCTAACTTCCCTAATAGATATAGTTTAATTAAGCCTCAACTCTCCTCATTTAACTTACCTGGGAATGCTGGTTGGGAACCTTAAGTGCTCTTCTCATAGGAGAGTTAAGAAAAACTAGGAAAAGTGGGGCATGAGTTGTATCCCTGTTGTCTGGCTTTAAGAGCTCCAACCTTCCTTTTTCCAGCTTCTTTAATGGCTGCCTTCCCCTAAATCTACCTTCCAACTGCTATTTATTAGGAACTGTATCATATCTGTAACAAGTATCTGCACCGGACACCTGCTGAATTGTGGCATCTTGACTTAACCTCTACCCCACTGGGCCCCTGATCTGTGGACAGGGTGAAAACCTCACCCCACCTGAGCCATTTTGGCAGTGAAGGAAAAATTCTTTCCCATCCCTTAAAAAATGATGACTAGTGAAATGCCCACAGTAGATCATAAAAACACAATCTTAGTTGTTGTTTACGTTACCAGAGTAAGTCAACCTACGTTGACATGAATCATTATGTGAATAATGTAGCTGGAGCTGAATTATGTTAGATCAAATTACAGACATGTCTACACTGCACTGTGTTAATGGGAGACACGCTCCCGTCGACTTAACTTATGCCACCAGAAGAAGAGGAGCAAGGTGGGTTGAGAGGAGAGCACTCTTCAGTGGATTTAGCAGGATTTCACTTCATCAATCACAGAAGCATTGATCCCCAGTCAGAAATAGACGTGGACTTACTTTTAGCCCATGACTGGAGGGTGGATGTTGCTGATCTGTGATTAGTGAGCGGGTTCCTTCCAGAGTTCATGGGATATAAATGTTGTTCTTCGAGTGATTGGTCATTTGCATTCCAATTTAGGTGTTTGTGCCCTGCATGCACTGTAGCTGGGAAGATTTTACCCTAGCAGAATACCGTAGGTCAGCAGGGTAGACCCTAGAGTGGAGCCAGTGTAGCTAGGTATTTAGTACCCTGCTGACTGCCACCTCCCTTAGTTCCTCCTAACCGCCAATGATGGTTGCCTCGGGCAAGCATGTTTTCCCTAGCTTGGCTTGCAGGTAGTTCTTTCAAGTGTTAAGTAGTTGTTAGTTAAGTATCAAGTTTATTACGGTTACTCCTATTGTTTTTCCCCACTTGGGAGCTGGGGTGTACCTCTGCTCCCTGGCTTCAAGCAGTGCAGACAGTGCAGGAAGTTTGTGCCTACGGACGATCCACATGACTCCTGCTTTAAGTGGCCCACATAGAAGATAAGTGCAAGATCTGCAGGGTCTTTACTTCAAGAACGCAAAAGGATAATTTTGCCTCCCAAATCTCTTAATGGAGGCTTCCCTAGATCCCCATCTAGAACCACAGGCCACGGGACCACAGTTGGTTGCCTCGGTGTACAGTGCGTCATCGTTGAGTGGAAGGTGCTGGCTCCGTGTAAAGAATCGGACAAGCCCCCGGTACCGACATTCACTGAAAACTAGAGTGAAAAGTAATGTGTGAGTTCTCCACTCCCTGCAGGAATTAACAAAACTGTTACTTGGCATAGCACAACATATATGATATGCCAGTATTAATATGACTGATGCCCATAACTCATATATTCTAATAGAAATAGTAATTACTGGTTGAGGTGAGGAAGAAGGTAGAAGGTTGTAAATCACATTGACAGATGCACAGTTCTTACAGGGTAATTACTGATTAATGTGCAGTACATCTGTGATATAAACCTTTAACTCTGATGGATGTAGGAGGACCCTTTTCATGGAATATAATGAAGATAATTGATAATGCCATGTAAATCTTTCCCCGTGTTACTTTCTAAAGATATTATTTTTAGTTGATATAATTTTATAAGATAACATAGGAAGTGTGATTTAGTTACATACACACCATTGCTAAATAACACTTATGGAACAGAACAGTAGATTGTAATGAAGTCCGAGAACCCCATATCTGATCCCATCCAAATCCACAATAATCTAAAAATGTATTATGAATTTATGTACAATGATATAAATAAAGATCTTGCTTCAAAGGAAAGTGAACTAATGAATCCGAACAATAACATGTTAACTGTGCTTGGTAGTGCCTACAACACTACAAGTTGCTAAATGTTATAATACTGTTTTCTCATTAATAACTCTGAAATATTTGCTTTTTTAAATTAATTTTTACACATGTAGTCTTTGCTGCAATTTATTTTCTTTTTTAATGCACCCATAGATGAATTAAATAACACATTTAAATAACAAAATCAAGCTATACTATAGTAAATAGAACTAATTTAGAAACCGCCTGGGCCAGATCATCAACTGGCATAGAGAGCAATTTAGTGGCATCTGCTGAGGATCTGTCCCTTTCAGTTTGAAACATTCCTTTAACAAAGTGCTCATTGGGAATTAGTGACTTTGCTTGGTAAGGGAAAATATTTTTTACTATTTTTTTCCACTAGAAAACACAGTCACTCTTGAACCCTATCCCTGTTGTGACTCCTCTGAGCTTCTCAGAGGGCTTGATTAACATAGGAGCTGATGCTAACAACTCTGATAGCACAATTTGTGTTAGGGATAGTGTGCATATTTCCCTGAAAAAACATACATCAAAATCTCTGAAACGTCATAGGAAAATATTGGGTTTATGTCTTTTATTTGTTTTCTTATGATGTATGAAATAGGGTGAATTTTTAATAGTTTTCCCCTTCCCTCCAAAATAC